TTCAGCAGGGGTTGCATTATTCCCCAGGGAGTTACATTTACGTTGGGAGATGTTGATTTAATTAGACCGAATTGAGAAACTAAATATAGGTTAGAGGGCACATGTATTAAACCTGCATTATGTTAGAGATGAAGCTTATTGACAAATTGAAATAGCCACTGAATGATATTTAGGCTACTTTAATATTTCAAATAGCCTTTTAAAGTGAGGTAGTCTACCACCATGAGCCCTTTTTGCCTATTAACCTTATGTTTTAAATATATTCTTATATTTCATTTTCAGCTGTTTCCATGTCTGCTTTTCTCCAGATTGATTGTGAATAGTTTCGTTGTACAGGACCTTTGTTCTTGGAGATGTAGTTGTGGATTGTGTGTGTCTAACGTGATTCATTGACGATGATCTAGCAACTTTGGTATCTTCGGACAGATGTAAAAACTGTATGGATCCCAGTACAGGGATTGTTAATAAAAAGGTTGTAGGACTGTGAAAATTATGGAAGTTTTCTATGAGAAAAACAAAATGGCAGGTATGCAATATCCCAGACAAAACTGAGAAGTTCATCTAGCTATGATTATTGACTGTGACAATAGCAAGAGGTCTGACAGAAGAAACAGGACAGGACTCAGTACAGTCAGATTGATACAAAGGGGAAGAAGACTATGTGTAGAGTGACATACTGTGTGAGACCAGGAATGTTATCAGCAACATTTCCATAGACTCTGCATGAGTTGTGAAGCCTTTTCAACCCTTTGTTTCCCCCACTGTGATCCCTACAAACAGAAAAGAAAGCAGGGGGTCATCAGTATTGTGGATAAGGATGCAACGATAGAAGATTTTGATGGTACGAAATCTAAGAAATCACGGTTACACGATTATTCTGCTTTAATACACTTCATAACATTATTAATGTATAAAATAACATTGACATTTGTTAGAAATTTGAATGCATTATTTATTGCTGCCTTTTGAAATGGAAATAACACTGATCAAATAATACAGGGAAATATAATAAATAACGATTAACAAAAATGAATGACTGAGGTGTTTTTTAAACATTTAAATATTAGTATTTTAAGCATTATCATTAAATATTATTGTAAATATAACACGAAGATTGACTTTATTGATCTCCAAGTGAAAAGTAATTGTCTTAAAATTGTAACACTAAATCGACCTGAAACAGTAAGTGTTTTAGTAATCTCTTACACTGAGTATATTACGCCAAATCTCCTCTTTGTTTAAAATAATATATTACAAAACTTACCAATGCTTGTGTGTGCAGAGGATTGCTTCTAACATCACTCCCTCTTCCTCAAGGACAGCCTGAAGAATTATGTTATCAAAACAATCACCATACAAAACAACACTTCAGCAGCATCTTATTCAAAAGACAATTGAAAAAACAAAACACATGCTGACACAGTGTGCGTTAAAGAATGTATTTACAGCCACTGAAATTCAATGACTTGAGTTACGATCATTTCTTTACAAGTAACTTTGATATTAATGTGCCTTACAATAAAAAAAATATATCTTATAGTCATTCTGTATCCATACATTCTACATCCCTTTGACAATAGATGCATTTACCTGAACTGTTTGTGGGTCTGCAGGGTCTACAACTACTGCAACACTGGAGGATGTGTCAATTATAAGATAGCTGTAGTTGTCAGACAGCACAGAGATGGGTATTATTTTGATACCTGGGGGCAGACAGAGTTACAAAAGAGATACAATTAAACCTTTCATTAAAAATGGTGGAGGTAAACATTAATTAAGTAGTAATGGTGTCTGTAGTATTCATTGCAAAGGCAGTACATTTGCACTTTGGGATAATACAAATGTCTTCTATAACCTGAACATCATGTGAAACCATGTATTCTTTTATCCAACCCAGAGGGTCGTTTAATATGGATACTTTCTGCATCTCCCCACAAAAACAACGACACATGTGAGCAGTGTTGAATGAACATTGTAAACTTTAAAATCCAGACCGCTGCCTACCATTGAAACCCATGGGCTGAGAAGTAGAATGTCCAGAAGGGTAATGTTCACGGGCTTTCTTCATTTGCCTTTTGTAGTACATGTAGCCAAGTCTGGTCTTAGTGTAGAGTGTGTACCTGTAAAACAGATCAAATGGCTTGGAAACGATGTGTGTGGTAGGGTCCGGGTATCACTGGACAATCCGTAATTCATTTGTGATCCAATACAAATTAACATTACTTATTTATTTTGTTTCAAAACAAACAAGAGAAACGTTAAACCGTCTGAAAAACACATAAAACAAATCAATATTGACCCATTGGATTGTATATTGAAAACGAGCTCTTTTGTTTTACTATTAAAGAAACACCAGGTCACTTGGTCTGTTTTTTTCCCCTGTTTCCTCATGAAAAACTGTAAAACCAGGTCCTCTTTTTGATTTTGCATACTCCTCTTTTCACTTCTCCTCCTCTTCTACTCGGACCGGACCTGTCGGCAGCCGGCAAACTGAAGTGACATGTTAAAATGTCAAAATAAAAGCCAAGAGGATCTTAATATTATGCAGCCAGAGGATCTACATAACACAATCAAGTCAGAGGACACAAAAAAAAAAATCAAAAAACCCCAGTGGATACGATCTGTGACGACAGGTCAGGTTGTTTACAGAGGATAAACCTGCCATGGACTAAACTGCAGATAAGCCTCGGATAACTAGGATGATTTTAGTGAAATAGTCAATGTAATCCAATGTGTTCCCCACATTTGGCTTTGAAAGCAATGCAGAAACTATGGTAATGTAATAAATCAGCAGTAAATCTAACTTACATCTAGCATGTAATGTTTCTGCACTGCATATTATAGTCGGCTACTTTACCTCATAAACATAAACTATAGCCTAAGAAACTCATAACCTCATGATGTTTTCCCAGAGGTTAAGGTACACTGGATAGTGAAAGGGATTAGGAAGTTAGGAGGGACAATCTGGGTACATCCCAGTTCCCTTAATGCATCCAAGTGTCCTCCAACTTGCCTCCTCCACTTGCGTCTTAGTCCCTCCCACCACAGATGCATGGAGAGATGCAAGGAAACGAAGCAGAGGAGAGAGGAAATGAGGAGATATGTTTTAAGAGACATGAGACGTCCTTTCCTCCACAGCGTCACGTGAAGCGACGTGTTTAGTCTCTTTAAGTTACCTGATAAGTTAAGTTACACCTGAAGTCTGCTTCAAACCAAAAGGACAATTTCTACTGACAAAAACATTTAATACTGAATTGTTTATGTATTATCTTTATTTGTTTTGACTAATTATTTGATAATGAACTCTGTATTTCATAACCAGATATTTTATGATGTCTTAGGAATACTGCAAATGATTTATTAAGTTCTAAATAGAGAAAAAACGTGACATTTTTCAAACACGAAGATCATTGATGATCAGTCTGATATGAAACTTTATTAAAGTAAATAACTATGAATGTGTTTCTGACAGACGACTCGCAGGCTGTCAGCCGTTCATTCTCTATATAATAAATTAAAAAGGGTAAACAGTCTGATCATGAAAAGAACATATAGGCCTACCTGTTATAATTATGAAGGCATCATTTATGATCTTTTTATTTTAACACTTCATATTAACAGACTTTTAATTTGACAGTGAATCAAAAACAAATCAAATATAACAGGGAGTGATCGGTCTACACTCCATTATATTGATTTTATAGAACTTATGCTTCATATTTCCTTGTTACTCTTCATGTCAGACACTTTTTTAATCCCAGCTCATCACAGACTGACAGATGTTTATAATCTGTTTGTCTTTTTAATGTCCGTCTCTTCTTCTTTATTAAACTTTGCTCATGTTAAGAAGTTTCAGTGAAGTCTGATCCGCTGCAGCGTCCAATCAATGAGTGATATTCAACAAGGGGGCGGGTCTGTCAGTAAAAACACTTCCGCAAAGTGCGCTCTCTTGTATCCTCGCTCCTCCCTCCTCCCTCCTCTCTCCTCTCTCCTCCTTTTAGTTGTAAGAGCTTTACGATCCTTGTCATGGCGAGTCTAGAACTACTTCCGGTTCGGCCGAGGAGATAGCGTTTAAAAGAACTGAGATGCAGGGTCTGGATGGTCTGAATCCACCCCCGGACGGACAAGACCGGTCGGCAGCCGGCAAGCGGAAGTGACGTGTGAATGTGTCAGAACCATAGACTGTAAATATCAGGGTCAGAACCGGTCAGAACCAAATCAAAGAGGGTCGTAATATTATGCAGGCAGAGGTTCTACATAACACAGTCAAGTCAAGGGTCAATAGACTACATAAGAAAAAGAAATCCATTCAGACAGAGTCCCGCGTTGTTTACAGGATAAACTGCAGAACCACTACATGAGACCCGGACCGACCCGGACCGACCCGGACTGTCAGACCACACACACGTCCCCCGTAAAGAAACGTTTCGTCAATATTTCAAACAATACTATCGGTTTCTGGAGACATTTACAAAACATAACTCAAGATAAAAAAAAAAAAAAAACATGCAGCGATGATTAAAAAATGTTTACAAGTTCATGTGATACTCACGCGATCCGGAACAAGGGCTTCTCTGAGCGGGCCATTATTTTAAACACCAGTTTCCCCAAAAACGTCAGACTTTTACCTTTATAACGAACACATAAATATAAGACAAGAAAAAGGGATTTGGTGACAATAAGTGTTACGATCCAGTCAGGAAGCGCCATCGCTTCCAAACGAAACGTACTGACGTTTAAGCGTCACGTTAATCCCGGAAGAATTACATCGGGCTAGTTCAAAATAATATATGCTTTTTTAAAATGGGCTATTTTCTTCCACATCGGATTAAAAAACATATGCAACCTTCAAAACACACCTCGAACAGTGGATAAAAGGAAAACCAAGTCTGTGACCACCTTTAACCTCTATTGTTGTCTTGTGTCACTTGTTTGTCTTTCTCTGTTACCTGCCTAGACACAACAGATGGAAACTGGCACTTCTGCTATAATCTGGCATTTATACAGCTGTTCATTAATATGCACTGTCCCTAACAAATAAATCTAAAATAAAATAAAATAAAAATAAACTGTAATTTGACAATAACAAACGCCCACTATGTGAAACGTTTTTTCTTTAAAACAAACAAAAAAACATTGTTAAAGTTAAAGTTATTACCGTCATTATTCTTATTCTTTATCAATACTTTCTTTGCCTTTGTGATGTAAAATGATTAATTCCTAGCAGGAAATATGAAATGGCAAGAAAATGGGAATCACGCCAAGTTTTGTTGGATTTAAATTAGTGAAGGACAAGTGAGTCAAGGGATTAAAATGTATCACTCTTTATGTTTAGTATTTCATAAAACAATATAAATGATCTCTGATGGGGGGGGGATATTATCAGAATACTTACAGGGTGGAAAAGCATCTCAATGCCGGGAGTGGTGTTTTGTTACAGACTAAACAGATAGACTAAATGTTAGGACATAGGCTACACTCTACAGTCTTTCTTTAGTTTTATTCTATTGTCTTTTTCTTTTTCCCAGTAGGCACACGAGCCCAATATGTCTCTCGCTTTTTGCGAGACCCTACATTGGACAAAGTATTAGTTTCAGTTGGCATATCCTATTACAAGGACAAAATCACCCTCTGGTGCAAGTCTGCATACCTCCGAAGAGAAACAGAATTGGTATGTGCAGCGCTTGGTTCTTGGCTTAAGTCTGCAGGTAATATCTTTTTTCTTTCTTTTTTCGTTTTGTTAATTTTCAAAGTATAGACTAAAATTAGCCTTCAGTCTTTTGTGTAATATTTGTCCTTGATTTTCTTTTGAACATGTTGAATGTGGTGTAGACCTATTACTTGCAACTTTTTTTAGTGTAATACTAATAGCTGCTAAAGTTACAATATCTCATTTGTTCAGATTTTTTTGGACACTGATGTAATGCGCTATCTGTATTTTATTTGGGAATGTACAGTATGTATAGTAGCCTATCATAAACTTAATAAGATGACTGTGGATAACATATTGACTGTATGATACCCTTAATATTTGTCATATCCTCATGTACATAAGCTTCCAATTTACAGTACATATACAAATACTTCCAATGTTACTGGTCTTATTTTTAAGGTCCAACTAGATCATGACGTCTACAGATGATCATCCTCCACCCTATGAGGATGCATTGCACCATCCAAAGTATGGAAACTACCCCTATCAGCTACAACATGGTTCCCCTCTTCCACCACCTCCACCTTACAGTCCCGGTCCTGGCATGTGCCCTGGTCCACCTTGCTACTGGGGCCAGGAAGGGATCCACTCGCATGCAGAGATGAGAGAAATCCCGGGTTTCTCTGCATCCAGAGCACCCAATACAATACCAACTCTGTCTACTGGAGTGCCGACATCCAACCCAGGTTCTGAGCAAATGAGAAAGAGTTTTTTTTAAATCACATCCTGTATTATGTTTAGATTTAGATTAAAAGTTTATTGATATAAATTACTATTTGATATTACCAATTCTGCAGGAGATGATTACTTGAGCACTCAGTGGGAAAGCATTTCAATTCGGCATGCCTTCATAAGAAAGGTAAAGATTTTTCCTTGAGTCATGTCACATTTTGGCCAGAATAAAAGAAAATCCTGTTAATGATATCATCAAAAAATTGCTTTATTGTATGCTCAATGTAACTACTTTGTTTCATATTTGTGGGCAGATTTACTTAATTCTAGCAACACAACTAGCCATCACCTTTTCCGTTGTTGCCGTCTTTACATTTGTGTAAGTATTTTTTTCTTAAGGTCTAACATTGCATGCTACAGCTTTAAGCGCTTGATGGTGTGTTAGGAACAGTCTGCTGCTCTTAAGTGATTCCTTATGTCTGTGCTTTGATAGTGACCCAGTAAGGCTGTTTGTCATCAGATACCCTTGCATCTATTGGGCATCTTTGTGAGTTATGCTCTTCTGAAGTGCAATCAAGGAAAGAAGACATAAAATGAAAAAAACAACCACATAGAAAAGAATATCCAGTACAATGCTCTCAGTAGTTATTCCCATGACAAACATATGGTAACAATCATGTGGATTTATCTCTCCATAGTGTGGTGTATATTTTGGTTTATTGCATTCTCATTTGCTGCGAAAAGCCAAGGTAAGCATGGCTCTGGCCTCTAAAAACAGTCGGAAAAAAGTTATATTTCTGCTATTTCAATGTCATAATATAATAATTATAACCAGTTATGCTAACCCCATTGATTCATTTTCAAATATTATCACAATTTGTATTTAGGAGGCATTTCCCATGGAATCTTTTGCTGCTGGGAATATTTGTAAGTACTGTTTTTTAAAGTGTGGGTCTGCTGATTCGTTCAAAACTAAAAGCAAATTGTAAGGCTTTCAATATTACTTGAGATAAAGACTGGTATTAAAAGATGAACAAAATTTGAAAAAGGTTAAATCCTATTCTAGAATTTTCTGATACACTGTTGTCATGTTTTATCTTGCAGACGCTGGCCTTGTCTTACATGTCTGGGACAATTTCAAGGTTTGCTTTTAAGTCTAACTCAGACAAAACATCAATACAGACATACAATGTATTTTGATTATGTATTGGACACTGTGAAATACTTTTTTCTTGTTTTAATTACTATGTTCTTTTACAGTTATTATGAAACAAAAGCCGTGTTTATTGCCATGGGAATAACAGCGATAGTTTGTATGGCTGTCACAATCTTCTGCTTTCAAACCAAGGTAGATGAAGTTGTAACCTGTGTTCGTAGCCCAAAGCCTGTCAGAGGGTGTCTTTGTTGTCAGTGTAAAAGGACTCTGTTGTCTCGTATTACAATGGGGCACTGAGCTCCTTTAAATATTTACAACATTTTGGGATAAGATGTACATCCAAATTCCCTACATGATACCACTTAAGATGTTTCACTTGTTTCTCATCACAGGTGGACTTCACCTCATGCGGAGGATTTCTTTGTATAACTTCCGTTTTGTTCATGATCGTTGGGATTGTTACAGCCGTCATCCTCTCCTTTCAATATGTGAGACACTTTGGTCAAAACACTCGTAACATATTCTTTCTACTCTTGTATCTCGGTGTGAGGAACACTAGCTCAGATGGGTAGATCTGTGTGGCTGATATAACATTCAGTGGCCTCTCTTATGTCACTCACCAGGTCCCTTGGCTGCATATGCTCTACGCTTCTATTGGAGCTATTCTTCACACTTTGGTGAGTCTATAGTGACATGCATGTAAATAGTGTTTTGGTCTAAGTACAACATTATTGTTGGATAACAACAGGCATACTGATGATTGGAACACATTAGTTTTCATATTACATTGTTTGCCTCACAAATGGCATATTCCTAGTAATGACAATGGTGGTGTGTAAAGCCCCATTTCAACCAAAGGTCCCCAGAACTAAAAGGTTCAGGGACTTCTATTCAAGTTACTAAATGGTTCCTGTGGCCCATATAGTTGTGTGGCTGTTACAATTATAAAAAGGTACAAAACAGACTTTTCAGACTAAGCATGACTTAAAGGACAAAAAAACAAAACATAACTAAGAATACAAATAAATAGGAAAGCAAACAACAGAATAGTAAGAGGTTTAATCTGGATTTAAAACAGCTAGGGTTGCAGATCTTCTAGAACATTTCAAGGCTCTTAGCCTGAATGCATATGATCAAAAGCCACTTTGGGACTCTGAGTCAGACACAACACTTTATTTTTCCTTCGAAATATGTTGTTTTCAGACCCACAAAGTGACAGATTAATGGTGCTTTACAATTGCAATATTTCTTTCTTTAAATGTGATTTATTAAATGTTCGTATAAATAAATATGCATGTTGTGCATATTAAATGTAACTCTATTTTTTGACAAAAACAGAAAAAGTTTCATTAGTTGTTGCGTTTTTTTTTGTCCATAATTCTCTCAGACTTTTGAAGCAAATTAACCCATTTTCTCTTTTTATGAATTAATGTTGTCCCACTTTCTCTTTAATGTTAGTTTTTAGTATACAACACCCAGCTTCTTATTGGAAATCAGAAGTTGGCCATCTCCCCTGAGGAATACATCTATGGGGCTCTCTCTCTCTACATTGAAATTGTTAACATCTTTCTCTTCATCTTACAAGTCAGTGGAGTGGCTTCTGACTAAGCCAGTGGCTGGAGCGCATTTTTGTTAACATTTAACAATTTGCAGAATATTGTTTGATTTTACACATGATGCTACAAATACACAAGTCAGTCACAAATGGTGTTTATTACCAGATGTAAATGTTGAAATCTGTTCCAAACCAAAACACTTGTTTAATTGAAACAAGGCAGTGAACTGAGTGTTCCACTTAACTGTGAATGTGGAGGAAAATTTGTTTTAGGAAAGTCTTTATTGGTATTTTAGTGGATCATCCTCCTGTTGTTACTTGTCCAACTGTTGTTTTTTTTGTTTGGTTCCTCCACTATGTAAAGTATTCTTAGGTCCCTTGAAAGGCGCTATATAGATTAATTCTCTAATATTATTATTATTAGCAACTCAGAAATACATGCAGAAACCATTCAAAAAAGAAGACCAATTAATTGGACGTTCTAGAAGTAAGTTTATTTATGATAATTCCTCAAATTACTTACAAAACAGGCATACAGCGGGAGACACGAAACATTAGTTCTTATTCTCTGCTGGAAAAGTGTGGTGCTTAGATATTCATAAGAGTACTTTTAAACAGATAGATAAACAATAATTCGATCAAAAGATGTTTAAGTGCCTGCAGCTATACAAACAATTCACACAAATTCTTGCTGTATTATGTATATGTCATTTGTTGTAGTAAGACAACAATGTACACCAATCAATAAAATAATCCTACTGCTGAAACTGCTCCCATAGCCTTGATGGTTAATCATATTAGAACTTCAAATTCAAAAGTGGCACTAGCTCCTTTTCTATGTTAATTTCTGTATTGTGGATAAGTGTTGTTTCCCATCATCAACATCTGTTACTTAGTCCAGTAATTAAAGGTTTGAGCATGTGTTTGAAGGTTTATGGTGTAAGGCGCTTAGGGTCCCGTGGGAACATGGATGTTTGACGGATGTTGTGAAGGCCCAGGTAAAGCATGCAGACTCTCTCCAGGCCTGGCAGGGATGACAAGAGTAGTCATTCAAAAGAGGGGATTGTTATTTCACATGTGAAAATCTAGAGTCACATTCAGACATGTTATGATTTTATTTACAAAACAAGTGTTTCGAGGCTCTGTGGGAAGCCCCGACAGAGCCCCTGCCACAAAAAAGAAGACAGCTTTTCCTTACCAATGCCCCCACCTCCATGTGGTGGAGCTCCATAGCGGAAGGAGTCAATGTATGCCTTTATCTTCTCCAGATCTGTAAGTTAAGGAAAATGAAATTCTCTGTTGTAACTGAAACTGGTCCCCATCAGAGGGAGACAAAAATCACATCTAGATATCACTTCATATGCATGTTCCCAGTATAACTCCAGAACGTTGCTGCATTTCACAGTGAACCCCTACTTGAGGTAGAGCTGTTCATATGAGTGTGTAGAAAAATGATCATGTACTGTACATGAGCATTTTTCTACACACTCACCTGAACAGCTCTATGTCAACAAACGAAAGAAATCAGCAAGGAACATTTTTTTACATTTGAAAAAAAACCAACTTATTTCAGACAATGTGCTGTATTTTAAGCTCATACAGTTTAAGAAAAAAGGGTTTGGATAAAAAAAAGGCCAGAAAAACAACAAATGACCCTAAGCTGAACTAAAGCGAAATTTCCATAAAAGCAAAAATTTCAAATAAATATATGCAATGACACTAAAGTGATACACCTATTTAAATTATTATAGAATATGTGGTCCAACATATTTCTCTGTGTATGCTTCCTGAGTTCAGAGAAAGCAAAACAGATTGGTGGACTGCATAACGCCTGTACTTAAAATAATGTGATGTCACAAACACCAACCTACACAATAATATTGAGAAACACAAATCAATGAGACCCTAGTGTCTTTAGTTTTATGAGAAAAAAATACTGACAGAAAAATTTGAAAGCTGCTGTGACCCGATCGTTTGCCCCTGCTACCTCTTCCTTGTACTACTACGTAATAAACAATTTCCGTCCATGGCATTGACAGTCCGGTAGGTCTGTTTACTGACTGTGTGATGTAATCTCTAGCTAAAAAAAGTAACAAGGGCCTTTCAGATAGGACGCAGTGTGCGCTGCACTCGCCGCAGATAAGGGTGCAGAGCAGAAGGGGAGCACATTGTTAGTTGACCGAAACAATAGTTTGGTCAACTAACAATGTAAACAATGGAAAATAGCTACTTTTCGGATGAACAATATGTTTTTATCCGTGCACTATTCAGTAGATAGCCCTGATCTTTCTACTGCTGAGGAGGAGAAGAGAAGCACATAAGGAGAGGATTTGGGAGAGTTTAGGCTCGTCCAGGAGCTGCAGCTCTATAACTTTCACTTCACACGCACAACACATTTCTGCTGCTGTTTTTAACACACCTGGTACGCCCAAACTGTTGGAAATTTTTTTTCAAACTAGAGATTCCTCTCCAACGTGCCGGCAGGTCTGTAAACTAGAGCTCAGGAAAGTGTGACACTGCTTGTTGTGATCTGATCTTCCCTCCTATTGGAGGCGCGGAGGTGACGCCAGACAGTGCTGCCCCCAAGCTAAACATGTTTTAACAAAACTTTCGACTGTCAGTCGACTATAGGCAAAATCTGATGAATTCCAAATTTGGACACCGTTTGTTGTGATTTAATCTCTCCTCCTATTGGACTTGCGGACAATACATAGACAATGAATGTTTATAAAATAAAAAAAAACTATTAGCGAACAAGTTTTTCTTTTTTTTCCTATCAATAACATTTAATAAAAGTGCAGGCTGTTAACTTGTCTACAAAAGTGCACTAAGGTGTGCAGATGGCCTAGCGGTTAGGTCACGCCCCATGGTGTAAACACAGAGCAGCATAGAACTCAAATGAATAGCTCAGCTTCGAGGATCGGCACATTGTCACCAATCCCCGATCTAGCTTTTTGTGTCTGGATCGGACCGATATCTGAATGCAGGATCGGATCGGTGCATCTCCATACTTATGGCTGGGTGGCATATATGTGCTTCAACCCAGCCAGTCTGTAGGAAGTAAACCAGCTATGGTTGAATAAAGAACATGCCCTCCAGGGAGCTATGGGGTCTAGAGGGCTTATGCATGCTAACAAAACAACCTCTTACCAATCTGATGATGGATTGCCCTTTCAGTCAGTAGCTGAGCGTCATGAACTCTTTGAGCTCCAGACAGGATCTCCTCACCCCTCATGAACATGTCATATGAGTTGGAGTATTTCTGAACAGAATCAAAAAAGAAATGAATTAATCATATGGACACGGGACCTCCGCTGTTCACATACACAGATGCAGAGAAGAGGTTCTAGAAAACATCTTTAAAAAAGTGGGATATAGAGGAGGCTAGGCTTCTCGAATGTTTTCTACATTGTGTCTTATGTTGACAACGTATTTGTGCAATTTAGACAATGTGCTGGAGTTTGCCTGCACGTATGATCATTAAAACAAGAAATTATCCAGTATTGGGTGCCTATGACTTCTATTCTTGTTGCCAAGGTAATAAAGCAATATAAATATCGTTTGATTTTTACTGGAATCATATCTTAGTTTAGAATTCTCGTATCATTACAACGCTACTGAGGAGCATGCTCAGAACACCGAGGCCAGTTTGGGGTTGACTGAGTGAATAGACCCCAGACCCCCATTATCTAGATGTGTAAGTCCGACTTTGAGAAATGAATCTTAGTGCGCTCTCAGTTGGACTTACATGCATTTTAAAAGTTCAGTTATCGTCAGGCTCACACAATTTAAAAAAAACATTTTTTTTTAACATGTTCATTGTTTGTTTGTATAAGTAAATAAAAGACTTACAGGATTGTTTGGATCAGGCATAGTGTAGAAGGGTCTTACAGCCAGTGGGTACTTATCCAGCACATAGAAGTCAGTGTCATACTAACAAAAAGAGTTGAAAAAGTTGATACAAATAATCAATAGTTTGTTAAAGCGACTTTCTGAACACACCATTACTCAAAATTAGTAAAACCCAAAATGACACACGTTGCAGTCAATGTGCAATCAAGCACATTTTTATACATGAGACATTAAATCATCATTAATACATGTTTGACATACCTTTTCCTTGACAAGACGGCCAAGCAGTTTTTCATTGGGTGTACTACAGAAAAAAAACAGAAAGCCATGAAATAAAACAGAGAACTGTGTGTACTAATGTGTACCTGAACTGTAACTTGCCTCCAAGTAAATATGAAATACATATTCTTGGCTTTCTTTTCTGATTATGTGTATCTCAGTACTGAACAGAGAAAGTTATGCACCTGGACTTCCATTTATTTTTTAACGCATCTGTGTTAAAATTGTATTCCACACTGTCGTAAACTTGTGCAATTAACTGGTGGTTAACATGGGAGACAATCTGTATCAATAACAAAAAGAACACTTCATCATTTTCTTGTACACTTCCAAATCATTTCCAAAATGTGCTGTATATAGGTAATAGGAGAAGCAAGGGTCATCAGAGTTAGTAAGTAATAGGTTATGTGTTCTTTTTTTTTTTAAATGATCAGACAATGTGAGGGTGTTGTGCAACACGTTTGTGATGTTCTCAAACCTGAGGTCCTCCTCGTCACCCATCTCGACCCCTGCCTCATGAAGCATGGCCAAGGCTTCAGTGTACTCCAACCTTAGAGTGGGCTCCAGGAATTTGAAAGGCTCGCTTGGAAATTGCTTGTTCACAGTCTGGATTTCTGTCTGAAAGCTGATGGACATGTGTCGTTTTTAAGTATTCCCACGCACATTCTATCTATCTCAAAAAACATATGTATGGTTATATTTTTTTCTGTAGCTGTATCTATTTACATCTTTTTGTAAATAATTGGCACAATCATTAACTTTACATCAAACAATTTGAGCCAAATAAATGCCATGAAAATATTTCAGTCACTACAAAGATGCCAACCTATCAATGAGATTTACTGTTAAAATCAAAATCTTACTTGTCTCTCAGGCCCTTGAAGATCTGCACCATGGTGTCAGTTATAGACTCAATCACTTCGTGGTAATGATAGTTGAAAGCCATTTCAATATCCAGACCAACAAACTCAGTCAAGTGACGGTGGGTGTTAGAATCCTCAGCCCTAAAAACTGGAAAACATCAAGATTTGCTAGGATTGTTTCTATACATCTGTATCTTTACAAGCAGGATTGCTGAGTCAATGTTCATAACCTATAGAGTTTTATGCAAATATCACTGAATGCATAAAGTGACACGACTCAAATACAGACTGAAACATAACACAAATATTCTAATAAAAACTTAACATTTCATGCTTTGTGCTTTAACATAGCCTTTGTTACAGCTGTTTCCCCACATGAAGACCACTACAGCATTATTAAGGTAGTATCATATCAGCTGTAAAAGCAACATAAACACCTGGTATTGGGAAAAATGAATACCAATTTTCCCCTTGCTGAATTTGTGCAAGCAGGCGACAGTGCGAAGTAGATTGTTCCTTGTTGTCTTATCTTAATTGCTGCAAACAAAATCAAGAGCAGCAGTATTAAAAAATAAAAACATAAATTGCTTGAATTTGAAAATATATCTTGAACATGTAAAATACAAAAAGAAAAAGACCAGAAGCTCTCCCACTACTAGACACAGAAATTGTTCATATCACAGGTCGGAAAATACCAAAGTTTAGCTACAAAACTTACATTTGCGCCTGTCACAGACAGGTGTCCCCATGATGCCACATAATCACTACAGATTTAGTTAGTCCTGACCTGTGGAATGTTTGCTGTGAGCTCTGCACCACTGCTTTATGACTGACACACAGCTATATCCCTAACAAGCATGATGAGAAGACCAGAAAAATACAGACGCATGAGGTCTGTGCAGATATGGACACCACCACACATTTCTACTGGATTATGGGTGAAAGTTGAAAAGGAATATTTTTTAATAGTTTAATACTCAATACCCACTCATTATGCCTTTTGTTACCAATAACAATACTTCAGAAGGTGTATCGCTGGCTCCATTGAATTTTTCAGTAAAATATGTAGAGTATTGCAGTACATAATATATTGTGACCCATGTATAGTGATACTAATTGTATCGTGAGGTCCTAGCCAATCGCCAGCCCTATTCTTTTTGCATACTGTATACATACAGTCTATCTAATTCTAAATGGAAGCGCTCTACCTCCTGTACCTGCTCAGGCTTCTTTCTTGCCAGAGGTGACGTTCTATGTGACAAAAACCAGTCTATACTGTTGGGGAACAGCAAGCTAAGACCACTGTCCTTGGCCTATGGCCTGGTCTACACTGTACCCAACCCCACATGCCCACTCCTACAGGTGGTGGGCCTACAGGGTGGAGGCTACTGTCTTCTCGACGAGGTTCCTGCGTGCCTATTCTGCCACTGTGCTGCTCTTTTCACTGTTTCCTGTCTGTAAACAAAAATGTGTGAGGGGACAGGTGGAATGCAGACTTACCTGGGCCAACACAGAAGACCTTATCAAAATCAGCACAAATGCACATTTGCTTGTAGAGCTGGGGAGACTGGGCCAGGTAGGCGCTGGTTTTAAAGTAAGACACTGTGAAGACATTTGCTCCACCCTCACTGGCAGCTGGAAGAGCACAAAGACTACTTTAAGAAATAAAATGAGGTACTTTACTGCAACATAGAACAAAATAACCATTAATAACAATAATAATAAAATGAGGTACTTTACTGCAACATAGAACAAAATAACCATTAATAACAATAATAATAAAATGAGGTACTTTACTGCAACATAGAACAAAATAACCATTAATAACAATAATAATAAAATGAGGTACTTTACTGCAACATAGAACAAAATGATCATCTAATTTTGACAGTCATCTATTATAAAACAGCAAACAGTTGCCTGTTGAATTCTTAAAGAGACCTCATAATACATTACATAAGATACCCAAGAGTTACGCAACACATCAGTGGTTCCCCATTTTAAACAGTCAAATGGCATTACATGTATTCTCACAGCATCAACAGAAGGGTGGAGAAAAAGTACAAACTGTTTACTGTCTGCACTATGGGTGTTGGCAGGAAGATGCGGTTTTTGCAAAAAGCCCACAGTGTTGATATATAAATGCCGCCAAAATAAAAGGTGCAGCATTTATGAATCTAGAACTGCTAGGCTACGTCAATGTTATTGGAGTTTTTGAAAAAGAGGAAGTTAATGGGTAACATTGGAGTGACACTTACATATTGTAAGAAAAACAAGGATCATGCATTTGGAATATAAATGGCTTTGTTTTGAATTCTTAAGATCAGATCATGTTCTACAGTTTAATGTACAGCTTACAACACACATACTTAAACTATTTTATTTATTGATTTATTTTGGGGGGCAGCTTTACATTGTTTATTCTATTTAGCTGAAAGTGGAACGTTATCAAAAGGTTGACAGTGAGGAAAAAGTATTTATCCCAACTAATGTTGAGAAAAACATAACAGGGAATGGGGAAAAAAAAATAAAAAAAAATAAAATAAATAAATGTCTATTTTATTTGCAATCTTGCAGTGTCTCCTTGTCAATTACAAAGTCAATATGTGTGGGAACAAAGTGATGTTAAAGTGGCTGCAATATAATTCCCAGATTACTTGATTCAATCTATGATGCTTAAAAACAAACACAGTCTCAGCCGTTGTGTCTGTTGTTGGCTTCACAGTTGTGAAAAACTGTTTTTTTCATAACTCACTGAAACCGTTTTTTTTTTCATTTAACAGAACATGTAGTTTTGTTCCTGTTTGAATGAAGTACATAGAGAAAACCGAGACAGGAAGTCACCCTTACAACTGTCACATCATGACTCACAGGGCACCTGTGGGTGTTGATATGGAAAGAAGTGTTTCTCCATTTAATAAATCTTCATAACTGATCCAATGCATGACAGTATTAGTGTTGTCTTGGACATGATCAACGTGACAGAGTGTGTTAGTACCTGATATGATTTTAGGGGTCTGGATCTCCACAAAGCCCTTTTGTGTGAGGGTGTCTCTGAAGAGCTGGCACACTCCAGACTGCAGACGAAAGATAGCCTGGCTGGTGGTAGTCTTGTGGAAGATATGCCCAAAAGAAAACAATCAGCCAAACATTGATAGGCATCAGACCGATGAGTGAAAACAAGATTACCATTTTCTTTTCATGGAGCACTTATCAACATAAATGTTTAAACAGTTATTGGCTTGCAGACAAAGAATGCAATCAAAAACAAAATACCCATCTTAAATAATGTGAAGGCTGAAACTACAACTAAGAAAGAATTTCTGAAAGAACCATTCCCCAATATCCTCAACAGATAAAGAGGTCTAACAGATAATAGACTGGTTCACTTAGTGCAGGAGTTACTAACTTTTATGAAATTATTTGTTTTTATTTATCCGCATCCAACCTCTACTTAGGTTGCTGTTCATTTCTCTTATTTTGGTCTTTTTATCATTATTCCAGTGAGGTAATAAATAATATTGAAGTGATTTTTAAAGGAATGTGTTGTGTCATCAAATTATTAAATAGAGGCGTTTCTGGATGCAAATGTCCTCGAATGCATGTTGGTTAAGAATATGAGCAGCATGCGCATGTTTGATAAATATACATTTCTTTATACTTATGCACATCCTAAATTGTAGTCAATGGACTGAATCTAGAACATTTTCTACACACTGTTCATAAAAGAAAGCCCTGAAGTTCTAAAGAATTGTAATGCACATTTTCAAATTTGGCATTTCATATAAGCGCTATAGGCCAAACAGACAGTCGTACAGAAACAGGTGCTGTTGTTGGGCTTATGAGCTATGTCACCCTGTGTTGTGATGTTAAGCCCCGAGTATACTTGCTTTAACTACGTGTACGCAAACGCATGACATCATCCTCGCGTATCCTGCGGTGGTTTGGAGCGTTGGTTGTGCAGGTCCTCAGAAATTAACGCTACGCAACCGCAAGTTGTAATATGCACATAAATGCTAGGAGCAGTGTAGAGTTGTAGGGTGATGAGACCGGAAATGAAAACATAGAAACACCAGAGAGTAGCAACAAAAAATTGCGAAATGTTTATTAGAAAAGTTAACAGAGTCTGCAGCTACCCGCACTATGATGTGTCATTGCCGTTGCATAGCATCCAAAAATGCAAGCCAAAATAGCTGGTAAAAGATCATGTCTACTTCAATGTTTAACGCCGTCTGATTTTTATAGTGCTCTCCTTAAAGGAATCCTCCAATAACACGCGTTGTACATAGGCAAGTATGTGAACAATTGCGTTCACGACGCAGTAGGTTGTCTACGCATACGCGTGTTTCATAAGCAAGTATATTTGAGCCCTTAGTTCCTTCCTGCCAGCAGCTACGTACATGTACGTACATTAGATGAACACAATTCATTACTTTATGGTTAGATATTAATATCTTCAACACTGAAGTAAAATGGGCATGTCTCTGATTAAGTGGGCTGATAGATCGTTTCACTTTCAAAGTCGCAATACTTGCATTGAATATCAAATACTTAACATTTTTGGTTGTGTCGTAACCTGGAAATGTTGTGGTTTGAATGTCTTTTATTTACCTCACCACACAACTACTCAAGCTTCTACTGTGAAAACCTTAGCTTTTGTAGTAACTTACCCTGAGATCAATCACCCTGTTGTCCAGCTTGGTATCCTGGTTGACTGTGGCCCTGCCTTCCTGAAGGCAAAATAAATAAACAAACATAAGCAAAGATCTTCAAAACGTACTGCACAGCTGCTTTTCTGTTCTCTCTACAGGAATGTTTTTTTTTAGAAATATGTCAGTGTAAGTGTCAAACCTCAAAAAAGGGAAATGTAAATACATGAGAAACCTAACCCTAGTACAGGCCTGGCCAACCCGCGGCTCTTTGCCCGGTCTCATGCGGCTCCTCAGTTCATATAGAATTTTGTGTGTTCTTTTTTTTTTTTTTTTTGGTAACGTTAGGCCCATCCATTGTGTTTGTGTTAAAAATTGCCCGTGCCCGTCAGTATGAGGGCATGACAGCATGTCTAATTTTGATGTAGCCTGAGAGCCAATCACAAAAATACCTGCGAACCAATCAGCTTTGAGGGATGGAGGGCCTTATTGTTGAGTGAACAATTTGTGTAAAACAAGCTAAGTTCGCTCTGAAAATGGCAGGGAAAAAAATGCACAGCAAAACGAAAATATGAAGGTGAACACAGGACGTTTTTAACAGAGAGGGAGAGTTTATATTTCTTTGTTCAACGTAATGGCAAACCATTCTGCCTTATATGTCATTAGCGCATTTCAAGGCTTCAAATCTTCAGCGTCACTTCAGCTCACTCCAAGCTAACATCGACCAGGAATTTCCAAAAGATCGGCAATATTTGCACGATCTGTGTCGAAAAATTGTGTGATTAAAGAAGAAATCCTTGATATTGTGCCATTAAAAGACAGAACCCGTGGCATCGATGTGAAAGAAACAATGACGGCTGCATTTGTGAAAGCAAATCTGCCAGTACCGAAGCTAACTGCAATAGCCACGGATGGAGCGCCATCTATGAACGGATCTGTGAACGGGCTTGTGGGGCTGTGCAAAGCTGACAACACATTTCCCGAGTTTTGGAATTTCCACTGCATCATTCACCGGGAGCAACTTGTTGTCTAAATCACTGAGTTTAGACCATGGAAATCGTCAACTACATCCGCACACACACACTTAACCACAGGCAATTCAAGAATCTCATCACCGAACTGGACCAAGGCCTTCCAGGTGACCTGCCGCTGCACTGCACTGTGAGGTGGCTGTCTAAAGGCAAGGTGCTTTCTCGCTTCTTTGAGCTTTTGGATGCCGTGAAACTGTTCATGGAAGAGAAGGACAACGACTACCCCGAGCTTTCTGACGCCAAGTGGATTATGGATCTGGCCTTTTTGGTCGACATGCTGTGTCATCTGGACAGATTGAACCTGGATCTGCAGGGTAAGTTAAAAATGCTGCCTGACCTGGTGCAAAGTGTGTTTGCATTTGTCAACAAACTGAAGCTGTTCAAGACACATATTCAAAAAGGGAGAATTAGCGCATTTTCGCGCACTGCTAAAAGCAAGCGGGCAAGCCACCAGTGCCGCCCTGAAAAAACAAACAGCCAGATATGCAACACTGGTTGAAAACCTTTACGAAAGCTTTGTGACCCGGTTCCGTGATCTACAGCTGAAAAGGCCACAGATTAATGTTTGGGTCAACATACGTCTGCGAGTCTGTGTTTTCTACCCTGAAACACGTGAAATCAAAGCATCGAGCTGTTCTGACAGACACACATGTGAAAGAATTGCTTCGAGTGGCCACAACGGAATACAAGCCAGATTTGAAGAGGATTGTTCAAGGCAAAGAATGCCAGAAGTCCCACTAAGAAGCAACATGCATAGTAAGATAAAAAAAAAAAAAACTTTTCACGCATTTTGTTTATTGACGCTATTGTAAATTTCTGTTTGTAGATTTGATTGAAACGAGAGTTTGTGTGTGTGAGACAGTGCACACAATGTTCCTTGTTGACTGGCCTGTGGTCTTAGTTAGTTTTAAGTCCATTTTTGTCAATATCATGTTGGTGTGAGACATATACAGTTAATGTGGCTGAGCAGAGGTATATGTCTGTCTGTGTGAGGGTGTGTGTGTGTGTGTCTCTGTGTGAGGGTGTGTCTCTGTGTGAGGGTGTCTCTATGTGAGGGTGTGTGTGTCTCTATTTGAGGGTGTGTGTGTCTCTGTGTGAGGATGTGTGTGTGTGTGTCTCTGTGTGAGGGTGGGTGTGTGTGTGTGTATTTTTTTTTAATTTGAAATCTGTGTGTTTGAGAGAAATAGAGAGGAACGTGGAGGAGGACGAGAGTGAGGCAGAGAGCAAAAGAGAGGGGAAGGGACAGGGCGATGTTCATGTGTGCCTGTGTGTGTGATGTGGCTCTTTGCAGTAAGACAGTAAACAATGTGGCTCTTAGTCTCTGACTGGTTGGCCACCCCTGCCTGAGTAATTTTGTATAAAAATACTTGAATTTGATACAAAACACAATTAAATTGAATCTTATTTCAAAGACAAATGCTCAGTGAGAAAACCCTTCCTCCAAATTATGCCCTGCTAATCCGCCACCTAACAAATCATAAAATTATACACACATTACTTACATGTGCAAAGAGAAAAAAGAAAGCAGAAAGAAGAGTCTGTAGAGAGGGGGAAGGAACAGGAATTCACATTCAGGGGGAGAAGCCTGTTTGGGCTAGTGTTCATCCCTCCCGAATCAGGCTGTAGCCCATTTTGTTGAGGGAAGATGGATGTTAGAAAGAGGACAGGGAAGGCAAAGCCAGGGTGAGGAAAACCCCCTACAAATTCTTATAAGGGAATAGGAAAGAAAGATAAAATAGATTCCCTTTTCTCCTTTTACTTTAGGTCCCCAATATACTGTATCTTCATCCTAGCTCATTTGAGATCCTCATTTAACCTCTCTAGTAACACTTTTTTTTTTCTACACAGCACAATCTACAGTAATATCTTAAACGTATGCTTTCCTAAAGTCCACTATCATGCCTGGTACTTTAAGGAAGTAAAAAAAGCACTCCAAATGGGCTGTGCAGTACTGAACCAAACACATTTGATACAAAATATCACCTATTTCCTGCTTGAAAGACGACCAGTGATATCATACCAAAACAGTATGTTTCTCAAGAAAGTAAAAACATCGACTATAACACAGCTAGAAATTCCAACAAGTAAAGATTTTAGGCCAGTTTGTGTAGAAGCACCACAACTGCAATGTAGGACAACAGGGTAATAAAAGACAGGAAAATATATATCTTTAAGTAAAATAATTAATTTTTCATCATGGGAGACTCCACAACTTCCAGGGTCATAGTTATCTGACTTCCTCAAAGAACCCACTGGGGTTTGAGTTTATTGCATTGTGGAGACACATCCTGCACAAAGCAGCCCAATGTAGAGGGACAAAAGGTTAGACAGAGTGACAGACAGACAGACAGCTGCATTGACTGTAGTGATGCGAATCATAAGCACGGATCTCCTGATGTCATAACAGAATATAGAGTGAAACATTTCAAAATGCGAGTAATGTGCTTGAGGGTGAACTTTGAATGTTGTCAAAAACACAATAAATAAATGAGGTAAAGTGGGACAAGCCGTTATGATTAAGAAAGAAAGGAGGAAAGAGAAAGAAGGAAGGAGCAGGTGTGTGTGTGTGTGTGTGTGTGTGTGTGTGTGTGTGTTTGGATTAGAGACTAGAAGATGACTGGATTAAGTCCTTTGTTCACAAATTAAAATAACTTACATAACAAAGCACAATTAATATATACAGTGCATTCAGAAACTATTCAGACCTCTTTACATTTGTTTTGTTGCAGCCTTATGGTAAAATCAGTTTAAATATTTTGTTTCCCTCATCAATCCACACTCAATATACCATCATGTCAAAGTGGAAATACAATTTTAGAAATGTTTGCTAATTTATTAGAAAGGAAATAGGCATTTATGTATCTGGTGCTATCAGTTCTTTTATGACATGGATCCTCACAACATATTTGTTGTCACTGACATGGTAACTGTTGTCTGTGCTTATCTATCCATTTGGTAATATTATTTAACTGTAAACTAAATTACCCTTCAGTGATAAATTAAGTTGTCTGAATGTGAATCTTGCTTAATGCCACTAAAATGTAACATAATCAGTGTGAACTATGGTGCATTTCACTTTGTAAGAAATGTGAAAAATAATTAGGATTATTGATAGAGTTGAGTAAACATAATTGACTTGACAGAAGAGAAGACCTTGGGTGAACCGTGCCTTAATGCCCCACCATCCAACCCATTGATTTATCCTCACCTCCTCTCCTTCTCCATCAGGCCTGACTGCATCTTCCAACTGAAGGGGGAGACGAGGCTCTGCCTGGCTGATGACAAAAATCTGAGAGCAGGAAGAAATTACATTAAAATACAGAGTGACAACATTACCCGGAAGGAGTTGATAACTCATTTGATTGAATGATGTATAAATGCTTGATTCAATGTCTAAATGAGCAATACATTTGCAAAAAAACAAAGCTCTGATATATTTTCCGTCCTACAACAAAAAATAACTTAAAAAATGTGAAATGTCATAGCTTACTCCACAGAAACAGGTTACACAGTATAGGACAGTTTCCTATAACCAGAATAACATTGGCATGTCCAATATATCTGAAAATGCTACATTTTAAAAGGCCTTATCTGAGCCATCCAAACAGAATATGCTGTTCTGCTATTTTGCTGCCCATGCCTGTGCTGTCTTACTCTATTGGAAATATCATTGATCATTTCATCATTGATCTTTATGACAATATCTAATATATCATTGCTGCCATTCAGAGTAGTATCCTGATAATTAAGGAAGCCTAAAGAAAACAGGGAGTTATTAGTTAATTGATAATATAGTTAATTAACTTGTACTAGAGTTGTTTATCACACATTTTTAAAACAGCGAGCCTTGTGAGCTGAGCTGAAGTCTGGGTCCCATTTCAAAAAGGAGTTTCAACAAACTCTGAGTCTAACTCTAAACTCTGAGTTGACTGACCCTCAGATTGGTTCCAGAGCAGCTGATGTTAGTACATTCAATCACCCCTGAGTAGTATATAATAATTATAATAATACAGGTTTCATGCACATTTCCTCTTACCTGTATCCTATTTAGCTGGTTAATTAGCCCTTATCAAATTAACATCATACATATAAATGTAAGTAGTAATACAGCCCCTTCATCCAGAGGCTCATTGACTTTATGTTTTGTTTAATATAAAATACCTAACAGATTAAAGATAACAACCAGGATACTCAGACAAATGCTGAAATTTCACTCATACACACATTATACAGACTGATTGAATGAATAAATAAATGAATGAATGAATGAGGAAATGAAACTGCACTGATTTCTTTCTCTACGAAGGAGCAGACAGAGAGAAACTCAGAGCTAATTGAATAAAGCCTCCTCCAGGTTAGATTCACAGTACTGAGTCTGAGCTAAGGTACCTCCTGGAATGGGCTGGAATGGTCACTAGCTGTTTTCACAAACACACTCCATATAATATCTAGATCATTATGGGAGGACTGCCCCAGAGATTCTCCTGACCTGGCTGTTCACATATGCTCCTCACAGCTGGAGACTATCCCTGTCAGGGGGGGGGGGGGGGCGGGCACGCGAGGTAAGATGCCCCCACTCCCGGTAAGACGTGACGTAAAAAAAAACGCGGAAGTAGCGGGCGAAGCAGCAGAGTCCGCTACACGACGCTATGATGACAATATTTGCCTTTATATCAATGCTACGTGTAATCCAATGGAATGACAACATCAACAAAAGAGAGGAGAACAACACACTGACTAAAACGCCATGCGGCTGTTTGGTTACTTGCACGGAGATCGTACTGGTCGCCTGCAGACACTGGGGGTCTGGCAAGAGAAACTCCAGGTGAAGTCCGAGTGAAAAATTGGGCTGTTTGCGTTCACATATACAGCTCCTGTGATAAATATCCTGAGTTTATCAGGAGATTTCCGTGCGATGTGTGAAAAGGGTATCTGAGATAAATTGAGGGGGAGGCCTCAGACAGGTTTGAGTTGAAAGGTCTGTTTACTTCCAACTTCCCAGCAATTCCAGTGAATACTTTTGTGAATATTGAGAATCATAACACCCCTACATGAAAGTTAAAAGTTTGCCCACCCTCTCAATGTGGAGCTCCACATCCTGCTGGGAACAGCTCTCAATCTTCTGCTCCACTCTCCTCACCGCTGCCTCCACATCTACGATGCTCTCCTTTGTGATGCTGGTGGAGACAGTAAGCAGGGTGAATGTAAAAAAAATAATAATTAAATAATAATAAAAAAACAACATATATATATATATATATACACTAAACAAATGCATCCATTTGAGGGGCAAATAGCAGATAATGTTGTGATATTTTTATTACATTGCCCATTTGGATTTCATAATTATTTTATGAGTGAGAACAGCCTCCCTTAATTATAATATGTGAGTGGAGAAAAATGTCATAAATCCCTCAGCATGATTATGAGAGGATTAACTTGTAATCTAAGGCCTCACTAAGCTTGTCAATTATCGCACCACAGTATGAGAAACTAGGTGTGAGCCAGATAGTGCCTACATATGGTATCAAGCATGACAGCACATACAATTTCATCCTAACAGCAATGCCCAACCCCTTTGTTAAAATGTTAATGCTGCAGCTTGACTTTGCTTTTGTAACACAATGTTGCAAACACTGTCGAAACCTTTAATTGCTACATTATAAGATATTGTATTGCAAATACTGCCGAACGACAACATTGCAAAACATGATGGGGAAACTGCAACATATAAACTAAAAATATCTGTTGATTCATTTGTAGGTATTTTCCTAGACAAAATATCTTGTGACTTACAGCAAACTAGAGAATCCAACAATATACAATATGAAATCACTTTCCTTTCCTGCCTATGCCACTGTTCATAATCTACAAAGCATTGCACTATAACTGAGTAACGTGAATAACAATAGCAGCTGGCAGCAAAAGTACATGAGTTACTTAGAGGTCTAGTTAATTATAAAGATGGTTTTAACCAGTCAAATCTTCCAATGCTGTAAAATTCCCTGGGAATATGACACAGCATAAACAATCCTTTCTTCAGTCTTAATTTACAGTTATTTGTGAGGGTCTAAGACTATGACAACTGTTACTGAAGAGGAGGCTTGATTTAAATATTGCTGCAATCTCTTCATTGCACAAGTTCCTTATATCCGCCATTGTAACTGACAGTTTGGTTTTGCTCATTTCACTTACTATGGGTGTTATTTTTTTCCTTTTATATCAATATGAATTCAATTTGAATTTCCCCCCGGGGACAAATCAAGTTTTTTGAATTGAATTGAATTGAATATCTAAGAAGGCTCCATTAAAGTAACACATGATAATTGAGATCCATAGTTGATCTGTAAAACAGATATTTAACTAACTGTATGTTCAAGTAACTTGCATTAATTGATCCATGCTTTTTTAAGAAGAAACAAAAGACCACATTTTGAATTACTTCACAAAATTGCACTGGAGTAAAAAAAAGTAATAGACTGATAGTTGTGTTCATTTATAGACTACCAATAGAAATGTACAATTTGGCTGCTCATCCGACTAATGATGCTTGCCTTTCAAGTATTTCATCTTCCTCTGTTCCAAGCTTCTGCATCCGCCATCACAACAGGAACTGCACTATATAACACTGCTGTATCCCACTCCCTTTAATAGTTGTTGTTAAGTAAAAAAAATGATTGATTCCCCAAGCCCACACCCCAGTCAGCATGTGTGAAAATGGATCAGTAGAAGATAAGGGGCCAAGGATTTTCCCACCATTGTTTGTGCCCTCTCCAACAGGAAGAGCATTATTGAAACTCACTTTGCTGCAAACTTGACCATCTGCTTGCTGGCACGATCTCCCACTGCGACCAGTGCCTGCACATTAAACTGCTGTTGACGCAGGACCAGGAAGCATTGTTTCCCTAAAAAGAAAAAAAAAAAACACAATATATAGTGTGAGACTTTGAAATGTCTTTTACAGAAGAAAAGTACAGCCACTCTCTGAATATACACTGCTCAAAAAAATAAAGGGAACACTAAAATAACACATCCTAGATCTGAATGAATGAAATATTCTTATTAAATACTTTGTTCTTTACATAGTTGAATGTGCTGACAACAAAATCACACAAAAATTATCAATGGAAATCAAATTTATTAACCCATGGAGGTCTGGATTTGGAGTCACACTCAAAATTAAAGTGGAAAAACACACTACAGGCTGATCCAACTCTGATGTAATGTCCTTAAAACAAGTCAAAATGAGGCTCAGTAGTGTGTGTGGCCTCCACGTGCCTGTATGACCTCCCTACAACGCCTGGGCATGCTCCTGATGAGGTGGCGGATGGTCTCCTGAGGGATCTCCTCCCAGACCTGGACTAAAGCATCCGCCAAATCCTGGACAGTCTGTGGTGCAACGTGGCGTTGGTGGATGGAGCGAGACATGATGTCCCAGATGTGCTCAACTGGATTCAGGTCTGGGGAATAGGCGGGCCAGTCCATAGCATCAATGCCTTCGTCTTGCAGGAACTGCTGACACACTCCAGCCACATGAGGTCTAGCATTGTCTTGCATTAGGAGGAACCCAGGGCCAACCACACCAGCATATGGTCTCACAAGGGGTCTGAGGATCTCATCTCGGTACCTAATGGCAGTCAGGCTACCTCTGGTGAGCACATGGAGGGCTGTGCGGCCCCCCAAAGAAATGCCACCCCACACCATTACTGACCCACTGCCAAACCGGTCATGCTGGAGGATGTTGCAGGCAGCAGAACGTTCTCCACGGCGTCTCCAGACTCTGTCATGTCTGTCACATGTGCTCAGTGTGAACCTGCTTTCATCTGTGAAGAGCACAGGGCGCCAGTGGCGAATTTGCCAATCTTGGTGTTCTCTGGCAAATGCCAAACGTCCTGCACAGTGTTGGGCTGTAAGCACAACCCCCACCTGTGGACGTCGGGCCCTCATACCACCCTCATGGAGTCTGTTTCTGACTGTTTGAGCAGACACGTGCACATTTGTGGCCTGCTGGAGGTCATTTTGCAGGGCTCTGGCAGTGCTCCTCCTGTTCCTCCTTGCACAAAGGCGGAGGTAGCGGTCCTGCTGCTGGGTTGTTGCCCTCCTACGGCCTCCTCCACGTCTCCTGATGTACTCCATGCTCCATGCCCTGGACACTACGCTGACAGACACAGCAAACCTTCTTGCCACAGCTCGCATTGATGTGCCAACCTGGATGAGCTGCACTACCTGAGCCACTTGTGTGGGTTGTAGACTCCGTCTCATGCTACCACTAGAGTGAAAGCACCGCCAGCATTCAAAAGTGACCAAAACATCAGCCAGAAAGCATAGGAACTGAGAAGTGGTCTGTGGTCACCACCTGCAGAACCACTCCTTTATTGGGGGTGTCTTGCTAATTGCCTATAATTTCCACCTGTTGTCTATTCCATTTGCACAACAGCATGTAAAATTGATTGTTAATCAGTGTTGCTTCCTAAGTGGACAGTTTGATTTCACAGAAGTGTGATTGACTTGGAGTTACATTGTGTTGTTTAAGTGTTCCCTTTATTTTTTTGAGCAGTGTATGTTCTTTCAGTCAAAAATGTATGCATGACTCGATTTGATACAGACTCATCCTGAAAATGTACAGGTAATGTTGGAATGTTTTTTTTTTTTTTTTTAAATAGGAGTGCACGCACACACACCCATATACCCCCCACACACACCTAGGACTGTACTGCAAAGACTGTAAGCAAACTAGCAAACAAACATTTTAGGCAGCAGACAGTTGGACCACCCAGATACTTTGTTGTCTGTTGCATGACAGACAGCGGTGGGTAGTGGAGATTAAAGCAATGCAAAATCCCACCAAAGGATGCCCTTATCTCAGAACAAATATGGGCAGGCATTGTTACAGCAATAAAGAGTGAATGAAGATATACGTGAAGTCACCTGTGACATTTGTCACTTACCACTTTTACAGTCTGTTACAGACAGGACTGCTCCTGAAATCACTGTGAGCGTCGTGTAAAAATAGAGGCAAGTCTGTCTGTGTAAACCGCAGAGCCAGCATGACAGAACAGCAACATGTGTGTGTATACGTAAAACTTACATTTTGGTAATGGTAAATTGGTGAATCTTGTATAAATGTATAGTGCTTTTCTAGTCTTCTGACTAAAATCGCTTTTACACAATTTCGGGGTTAAGTGTCTTGCCCAAGGACACAGCAGTCATTTTGCTTCAGGAGCTGGGGATAGAACCCCCAACTGAGCCACAGCTGCCCCTAATGGTCTACCTGTGCCTCTCATACGTCACTCTGCAACACTGTTATGCTGTGTAAAATCAGACACTGGGACACCAGTATTACACAATTGTGTGGTTTAGTGTAAATGCACACTCACACTAGGCCCAGTTGTGCTGTACTGTACTTAAGCAGGATTAAGCCCCTCCCCATTCCCCGCTGGCCTGCACTCACAGATCTGAGCATGATAACCTCTTGTATATAAGCTTTACATGATCATGGAAAGTGCTTTGTTAACAAGACAGAGGAGTCGAGTCTGCACCCGCACATCGGAGAACAACACAGAGAACATGACAGCTACTTTACACACTTTGTGGCTTATTTTGGGTAATTCTATTTAGGAAGTGAGTTAGAAATCTGTCACAGAGGCAGGAGTTTTAGAGCTTTTTGCTTAATCCAACAACTATCAGCGCAGAGATTTAAAAAAAATCTCAAATATGAAAGTTGCACTGTGCTGAAAAGTGAACAAAGAAGGGTGTTCTCACCTTTTGCTCTGCTGGTGTGGACTCGGGCCCGCATCCAAATTAGTTGGTCTGCCTTTTCAGGGGTAAGGTCTTTGACACGCACCAATGTCCTGTCTTGCTCAGACAAACACAAACACACATGTATTATTACTTCAAAGCACGTAAATGCAACTTTTTTTCCCGCCTCAGGGCAAACATCTCACTCCCCTTCTACTACCCCTGTAATCTCTCAAAGGTAGAAAGAAATGTGAGTAAGCATGGTTTTGCGTGTGAGGACGCACACATAATAAAAAGGGTCAAATTACAGATATTCCTAACAAATAAGACACAATAAGAGGCCTGCGGAAAAGCTGTCTTAACTCACTCCTCCTCTCTCTGGGCTATATGACTAATTGACTCCAGTTTCACCTGTGTCACTCAGTGACATGCTTTCTCCTTAATATCAGCCAGCAGACACTGAGGCTACACATTACAAAACTGAGCCGCCCTTTGGCTGAGAACTCTAAATCAACCCACATGAAAGTTCTCAAACCATCAAGCCCCCACCCTCAAAGTCATAATGGCTGGGCTTAGTATGCAGGTGAGGAGTCACCCTTTGTTTTCTGCCATTCGAGCTCACAGAAAAAAACTAAAAAGAGAGACCTCATAAATACGTTTGACTGCTGTCTTGGATGTTTGGGAGATATAGCATGGTATTAGTTACTGCAGTTGTCACTGCTGCTATCATCTAAAGATAAATCAAGATAATTCACATGATATTCATCAGTACAGATGGACTCAATAATCTGAGAGGTAATTAAATACTGAGTAATGACTTGCATTGTCTTTAACACAAGATGGAGTTCAGGTCAGTAAAATAATCCCACATCTTGAACCAACCCTTGCTACATTAGCCTTGTTTGCAGTCGCTTCAGTCATATTTGGAAACCTCCACCAAATAAAAGTTTCAATTCACTACAACTTAAGACAAGATATACAGGGGCGCTGTGGTTAGTGCGCGCGTCCCATGTATGGAGGCTGCAGTCCTCAACGCGGGCGGCCCGGGTTTGAATCCGACCTGTTGCTCCTTTCCCGCATGTCAATCCCCACTCTCTCTCTCCCTGATTTCCGTCTCTGTCCACTGTCCTATCTCTCCATTAAAAAAGGCCCAAAAGCCCCAAAAAGAAAAAAAAAAAGATATACAAATACACACAAAACTAAATAAAGAAATATTCATTCTTTATCAACATAAACGAGGCTAGTGTAGCAAGGTTTGGAAACAAGGAAGTTACATTGAGTGATTGCATACAACACTGGTATCTTGGAATAATATTAAAGGGGACATATTATGTTTTAAACAAGACATTTGTTCAAACCAAAAGAAGTCTTATACATTATACACCCTTAAAAAATGGTATCTTGTTTGAAAGCATGTTTAAAACACTGAGCAAGATGAGCCACACCCATTTAAAAATGTCTAATGTGATGAGTGTAGAAAGGGGCAGGTTAAAAAAATGTAACTAATTTAAACTATCTCCATCTAACTCCTTAAAGTTGCAGCATAGCTTCAATTCCATGTTGTCTTTTATTGCACAACATCCCCTCTATATCTCTCCTGCTTTCCTTCAGCTGCCATTATAACTCATAAAGCAGAAATGCCAAAACAACAAGAAACTGGATAATTAAACTTAAAATAAATTAAGATGAATGTCAACTCAATCTCAATTATTTTTTAACCAATAAGAAGGGTAGGTTACTAGCTATTAGGTTGTCTAATGAGTTATAAAAGTAGTTTCCATACTAACCAAGTTTTTGTTGGGACTGAACCATAGCCAATACTCCATACCGGTCCTTAGCAAAGTCCTGAAAAAATAACAAGCACCAAATTTAAACATTTCAGTTCAGATCAGTTCTCTTCACTTGATTAATAAAACATTACACTGCTTTTGATGCATTTACATCGACTCTCTATTGTTCTCAAAAGCAACCACATTAGTTTTAATAATGTGACTAAAGAACCCACAAGATATCTTGTGAATTAAATGATAAAATGACCATAACTATATCATGACTGGCATACTGGCTTCTCTTACAACAATGCAGCAGCCAGTATGTCCTGCTTTTGAGTTTCCATTCCGGTCTGGAATGGTCTGCTTTTGTTTTGACCAGAGTAGGTAGGCAGTTTTAAGGCACCCCCACACAGCTGATTTGAAACGGCTAACCAACAGGTGTTGCAGTGAAGGAAGCCGGCAAGCAAACTTGTTCAGACATAACTGATTCTATCCAACCTAAATACTCTGCATTTTAATAAAATAAAATCAAGCAAGGTTAGAACACAGAAAGGTTTAAAGACAGATGCAGAGCTGGCTAAACACTGAAGCTTTAGTGTCCATGACATGGCAAACAGCGTTCACATAGACTCTAGGGAGGAGGGGGTGAGGTCAGACAGCTCTCTTCACTGTTTTGAATTTGGACTGCAGTACCAATTTTAAACATTAGGTATCAGAGTTACATTTCGCTCCTTTTTCAGAAAACGAGCCTCATGGACAAAAGCATTAACAGAAACCAAGTTCAGCCTGCTGGCATTTGCATGGAGACTGTTGCCAAGCCATTATTGATGTAGAAGGAATCATAAACCACTTCCACATAAGCAGTGCACTCCTGTAAATTCTCACACAAAATTTCAGGCTGTTCTGCATGTGTCAACACATACCAATTTTTCATGCTGATTTTATCCAAACTTTTTCCTGCCAGCCTCCTAGAAAATTATCTGCAAGGAGTCAGGATTTGTGAACGCAACAGGTAAGATTCTGGAAAATTCCCTGCGGGATGATGAGTATATAACATGTGACAAGTGAGAAAGTGAGGGGATCCTTGTACACATAAAGAGGTTGTTTCATACTCTTTTCTGCTTACGAGTATGTTCTTTTCTACTCTGTGGCTAACAGCGCCTTTCTTAAAAGTTTAAAGATTTTCAACTTGAGCGCTCGGAGCGGCTGCCTCCACCAAACCACTTTTCATCCAGGTGATCACTTTCTGCTGCAAACGCTCTCTGCCCATTGAAAACAACTGAAAAAAGAGGCTGCCGCTGAGGAAAAACCGCTAGGTGGACACGGGGCCTTATACATCCATCAGATGAGAATTGATTGAGGGACATATGTCTGACCCTACTTTGGTAGGTGACGATATGCTCCCTTCCAGACAGTTATTATTGGACCCTCTTTTGGTTGACCAATTACATCACATACAGTCAATTCATGGACTTCAATATGTTTAACGTCTATCCAAAAGTGCCTGTTTCTAGCGCTCTCTATGTTGATACGTCTGTGTTGTTTTCGTCCCGGCTTTCTTCTAGGGGCTAAAAACAAACAAAAACTCATAGAACTGATGCATAAGTACAGTGAAGTTTAAAGGGCCACTTACATCTTCCTCCGTACTTTGTTGTTCAGCAGCCTGAAAAAACAAACAGGTGATTTGTATTTAAAAGTTATTGAAAATAGAAGAGCACTCTCAATTACATTCAAACATTACAAAGTTGAAAAACATTTCTAATAAAGGAGAACAGGTTAAAAGTGTTGTCAACAGCTTTGTCCTCTGTGTTTTCATCTGGTGCTAAATGGGTATTAAATAAATCAATAAATCTAATAGCTTAGTTCTTAATCGTCAGAGCCTTGTAATGCACAGCTCTTCTACACAATGCTTTAAAACATCATACGCAGTGAGTGATGGCATCAAAACAAATTGTTCTGTATTAGAACCATCATTTGATATTATTATTCTCACAATCCCGACATGATCATGCAGTTCTCCTGTGATCTTGTGATCTTGCAAATCCAGCGGTGTGTTAACTTCAGGTAGATGATAATCAATACTGGTGTTATGTGTTGATGAGTAAAAGGAGTAATCTTTGGTCAGGTTTTCAGTTTTCCAAACATCTAACAATTTCGTATAATTAACGCATGTACCGTATACAGAAAGTCACTTGAATTGTTTTTATTTGTTTTCTAAGTGGAAGATCTGTGTAGGTACAGGTCCAATTACAAATAAACAATTAAAGTCCCCTGCAATGACAAGATTTGTTTGGGACAGATTTGGTTTAAGGGACATCTTTAAATAAAGGATTGTCTATGTTGGGTGCATATAAATTTAACAGGGTGAGAGGTGTTGAATATATATTTCTCCCGTAACAATGAGATACCAACCTTCTTTATGTGAGACCGTGGCTTTGTGGATAAAAGGAATGCCTTTTCTCATCATAATTACTATACCTTTTGTTTAGGCAGGACATAATGAATGAATATGTTTCCTATCCACTTACATCTTAGTCTGGTAAGCAAATCTTTTTTTTCAGATGAGCGTCTTGTAAAATGTTTTTGTTTTATTTTTAAATCTGGTGATAAATATTTGAGATGGGTCAAGATGTTCCCTCTTTTTTTGGATTATTTAAACGACAACCATTCCAACTGCCTAGATTTAGACCTCTCCTGTTTTGATGTATATTCTGATTACAGTGTATTGACAATGTATTAACAAAAAGTCGCAAAATAAACACCTGTTTCAACTAGCTCATCTTCAAATAAGGATTTTAACTTAATAATACAGTTGGGTCCGATCTCTTGCCCATCCTTAAACTCCCCCAAATCTATAAACCCCCAAAAACATCTTAGAAAAACAACCTAACAAGCCAATACTAGACAAACAAGTATGGTACGAAATAGACTTTTGGAAGTATTCAAATAATAATAAACAAATAATAATAATAACACAATTAAAAATACATTACTTCCCTGATTTGTTACTGTTTGTACCTTTGCTCACTTCAGTAATAATTCATTTCATACCAAGTAAACACCTTGTCAGTATTTTCAGGGGCTTTCGCAATCTGGCTTCACCATTGTGAAAGTCACACTTCTGGGCTTGCTGTGAAGTTTAGGTTCTTTCCTGTGTGGGTAAAGCTAGATCATTTTTGTGTTTTTTCATCTTAATCTTCCGTGGCTTACTAGAGAGAGAAGTTTACTTCTTTGCCTAAGCTGTGCTGTCATTTTACAGATTTATGAATAATTCATATTTAACATAATAGGGAGGTTCCATTTCTGTATTGTAATTGCAGTCGGACACTTTTTTTTCTGAGATGGTCCACAATAAAAATGCATTTTTCAACACCATACCCAGGCCTGGAAAACATACAAAACTATGACTATCTGACCAAATCCTGACTGTATAATTATTCAAATGTACCTCTGTCTCTCTCTCTGCCTCATCAACTTACAGCAAAAAAAAAGGTTATACTTAAATTTGTTCTTTTATTATCAATGTATTCTTCTAGAATATTTCAGCATGTTGAAGCTTTTTAAAAATACGCTAACTAGCTTGAGAAGGATGTGAGGGCGCTGAATAATAATTCAATGTATTACTCCAAAAAATGGAATGAAGAGGGAGGGACTGAGAGACATCAAAGACAAACTCTCGGAGAGCATTAGAAAACAAACCTAAGTGTGGACACATTAAAAACAGGACAATCTGGTGCTGCTCTGTGTAACTCTCAGGTCTGGAAGTGAAGTGTATGAAATCCACAGCATTCTGGGGTCAATATCATACGATGACAGCCGTCTCATATGATATGTCCTCTGCAGGTTGAACTTGCATAACGAGTGTGATAAATTTAGTTTTTAAACAATTTTTTCAGAAAGGACTCCTTTTCACTTTTCATCCTCTTTGGCAGTTTTTGGCATTTGCCTTTTCTGGTGCCACCGCTGCAGTTTGTAATGACTATTTCAACAAGCGATGTCCTTGGAAAATACCTGACAGACCTTGACAAGAGCTTGGGGCGGTACAAAATTGGTGACAACCCACCTACCTCATTCCCACCATAAAGACTTGTGTAAATCAGTGTAGTGATGAAAGATACAACAGAAAACTCTAAGTACTTCGTCTTTTTCGATTCTCTGATTTTTCGATTCTCTAATGCATGTGTATGGGTGTGTCATATTTTATGTGTAGCAGCACAGCCACAAAGAGCCCAGCAAATGAGCGAACCAACAGGATTGATTGTTAGAGTGAAATGTTTTGCACTGGCCATGTCTGGCCCTTCATTAGGGTTAGGGTTAACCCTAGGGTTAACCCTAACCCTAAACCACAGCTATCTTGTAGAAATAAAAAGTGTTAAAATGCACATTTAAGTGAGCAGTGGAGGTAAGGTGAGCAGCAGTGTGTTAGAGCTGCTCGCTGCTCATGTCAGCCATGTCTGGCCCTTCATTTCCAAAGAAGGGCCAGACATGTGTTGTTCATTACATATGCTGCAGAATTGGAAGAAGTTTGACTCTGTGAATTGCTTCCAAATCTAAAGACCATTTCATCATTACAAGAGTCAATTGTTGACTGTTATTCTCTGAATCAAAACTTAAGCTCCTGGGCCAGTGGTTACAATAGTGGGGCTAGTGTTCTTGAAAAGCCTTAATCAAATGTATGAGGTTAACATTACCAAATCATATTTGCTATGTGAGATACTATGAATACCCATGCTTTTATCAGTTTGACATCCAAACAAAATGACAGGTATACTTTAATAGACGCCTTTGCCCTCCCTGTAGCTATCAGACCCTCTTGTACCCACAGTGCCCACCAGCACCGCCTCTCAAAGCTTTACCAGCTGTAAGAGGAGGCTACGGATATGAAACAACAAAGGGCAGAATAAACACTGACCAGCTTGGCCTGTTTCTCAGCCTTCTTCGCAGCTTTTTCCACTTCCTTTTGCTGTTTCTTCAGGCCTTTCTTTGACTGAGCCTGCTGCTCCTCCATCGCTCTGCAACAGGAAGAGACACAAAAAAACAAACATTAAGCTCAACTTCCAGCCTCTACTTCTTGTGCTTCCCATGAGTTCATTTTTGAGCGCCTGGGAATATAAACTGTTATCTATTGGCACTTTCAGCTTTTCAATCGGTAACACTTTAATCCTGTTGGTAATTTTAAAAAAGTGGAGTGTGGGTCATCAGGAGGGCAGAAAACCAGATATGTCAGGAAGTAAGATAAGCTAGTGTACAGCTAGTACAGCTTGTTTTTACAGGCAGTAATGTCATCACCTTGGTCTGATCCATTATAATATGTTAAGAATAAAAAAATATATTGGATGTCATTGGCACTATCTTCCCCCGCCTCCAGTATTTACAGCTGATATGCCGTTATATGAGGTTAAAGACTAAAAGGCTGTAAAAGATAAAGCTAGAATAAAAAAGGTGGTATGAGATTTAAGATTATAAAGAATCAGAACTTTACAAACTGTAAATAGGCGTTTTGGCTTAACTAAATAACATGCCACGACAACACATGCCCAAAAAGTGTTTTTACAAAAGGACAATGAAAGAAAAAGAACAGCTGCACACACAAAACACATCATACACCTTTTTTTTCATGAGACATCCAAAGAACTTCTTCACAGGGCAGTTTTGCAACTAAAAATTCAAGTATCTTTCAGGCAATCCTATGTAGTAGTTAAGTAAAGTAAGTTAACCACATCTAAACATTTACAGTAATCTGTATTTACTAAGGAGCTGGTATTACTGTATCAGCTTTCTCTTTCTGGTATTTGAGTTTGTTTTCTTTGGTGGGAGGGGGCTCATGTAAAATATCTGACACAGCCAATGACTTCTTAATGTTTATTTCCAACAGAGTGACCAGAGAAGAAAGTAACTGGAGAACCACAGTCGATTCTGCATGACTAAGACCTGCTTGATGAGTGTCCAATAACTAGTTACACACCATAAAAGCAGGTCCAATTAAATACATGAGGTTACAACAGCGTTTAAACACATGTTCCTCCCTTTCATTGGACATGTAGATGTACATTTATTACAATATTATATTTCAATATAATTACTAGAACTATAACATTTCTACATGTGGACAAACAAACCATGCTAAAACAAGAGGCACTGTATATGTTCATAAATCTGTTAGATGATGCAATCTGCTGAGAGGTAAAGCTAGCGGGTAGCTATTGGTCAACACTCTGCACTTGAAGCGTGTTTAAAAGGTACACCTTGTGGTTTTACTTGAGCTATGACATGCATGACTTTTCTTACCCATCGACTGTCTCTTTAGTCATGTCGACTTATGTCCTTTGCAACAAAAAAAGAAGAGAGAAAGTTTCACCGCACTCAGACAGGGAGGCACCACATCAGCTGTTCACAGCATGGACAAGCACCGGAAAGACCCATTTGGACGAAGCACAACACCGGAAACTTTGCGTCCGTCTAGAAACGTAGAGCGGAACAGTAGATCCGACTCATTTGTTGCACAAGGGTGGGAAAATAGCTTTGCACCGGGGTCAATCTGATGTCGGTACATGCTTTGATGATACATATTGGGATCATGTTGTGCTAAGCAGCAGTATTTTTAAACTTGATGTTTGTATTCAATAGGCTATATTACATGTAAAGGGATGTTCAAGAATGACATTGATTTAGTTTAGTGTATTGGTTTATTTGAACCAGGACAGTGTACAAAAAAAACACATTAGTCTCAGAAGATAATAGATGCTTTGTTCCAGATTTAGATAACTAGCTAATTTCCAATTGGTGCCGAATGGCATAGCCTGTAGTCAAGAGGTACACAATGTATTTTGGTGTCATTTTTATACATATACTTGAAAATAAATACTTTAAAGGGGTATTTTTACATTAACAAGTAGTACTAAGTGTAAACTATGATCAAAAGTAGCGAGCGCCCCATGTATGGAGGCTATAGTCCTTAAAGCAGCCGGCCCGGGTTCGAATCCAGCCTGTGGCTCCTTTCCTGCATGTCATCCCCCTCTCTCTCTCTCTCCCTGATTTCCAGCTCTCTCCACTGTCCTATCTCTCCATAAAGGCACAAAAAGCCCAAAAATAAATCTTAAAAAAAAAAAGTATCTTTAATTGATGATGTCGTTTTGGTGAAAAATCTTTAAATTATTTGCGGTATGGTTTTAAATATTCAGTTAGAGTCCCCATGTTAAATGTACTGTATCTGCCATTGGCATCAAAATAACCGTATTCTCTCTTCCTGTAAAGATGTGTCAAATGTCTTGACTGTAAATATTAATGGACGAAACGTAATGTCACCCATCTGTTACTGCAGGGGGGCTTTGGAGTCCCAGCGATGGTGGCCGCCATAGTGGAAATGCTGTCTAACTTTAGGTCAACCTAATGATAGGGCAAGAGCTGCAGCTGAGGCAGGTTTACTTGCCTTTGGACATCTGGTACACCTGTCAATCAGGTCAGCTATTAAAGGATTTTATTGTTAAAAAACACTTATCCTTCATACATTTAATATTTAATATCAGTCTTTTGGGTCAGGCAGGACATTTGATTGCTCACTACCTCCTCATAATAATAATAATAATAATAATAATAATAATAATAGAGTAGGAAATAGTAATTTCAAGTATCCAATGACCTTTACATGAATGGCTATGTTCAAGTGAGAGGTATTACTTTGAATACAGTTGGGGGTTAGGCTTTTTCCAGGCTTAGGGCCAGAAGAGCTCTTGATGCAGGAAAAGCATTTCAGCTGCTTGCCTTTTTCAACCAAAACAATGAAATCATTAGTGATGTAGGGGACTGCCCAAAAGAAACCTGTGTTATTTGTCCTAAGCCATTTTCACATATGCACTCCTTAAATAGCTAGATCATTTCAGGAGGACTGCTCCGGAGATTCTCCAGACCTGGCTGTTCACATGCTCCTCACAGCTGGACACTATCCCTGTCAGAGGGGAGGGGAGGCTGGGGTCTCCTGAGGTGAGACGTGATGTAAAAAAAACTAAGTGGAAGCAGCGGACGTGGCAACAGAGTCCACTAGGCCTATACAACGCTATTATGAGAATATTTGCCTTTATATCAATGATGCCTGTAGTCCAATGGAATGACATCATCAACAACAGAGCGGAGAACAACACACTGGCAAACAGAAAACATAATGCAGCGTTTTAATTACATGCACAGAGATCCTAGTGGTCGAGTGTAAACTATGCGCCGTGCAGCAGTCACAGTATACAAATGTCAATCCTATTTGCTTGAGGTGAATTCTCCGGAGAATATCCTGCGGCTTTCTCACATCATCTTCAGCAATAAATTGGGCTGTTTGTGTTCACATATAGGTTACAGCTCCGGAAATATCCAGAGTTTTTCTGGAGAATTCTGCAAGTGTGAAAGCCATATTACTTTCATCTTCAGTGTACAATTACCAATCAGTGTAATATATTGAGCACTAACTACAGCTTAAGCTGATATCAAACAACAGACACTTAAACTGGTTTGTTTTAAAAATAAAGTTTTGCAACACTGCACATGAAAATAATAAAATGATTTTTAATGGCAAAAAAATGGCCACACTATCATGAAGAAAGGCCAGGTTGTTTACATATAGCCTACACTTTTTAGAAAGCTTCAAAAGAGGAGCAATTGGCTATTTGGATTTAATAAAAGATAAACATTTTGTTATGTTGATAAAGTTGAATAAATATTTATAAAATGCAATCATTGGAGCCGAAAGATAAGGAAAACGTGAATGACTAATGTATACATTAAGTTAAATCATATCTCTGTGATGGTTGATCCCAGCAACAGCAATTTTAGCTTTTTAGAGTAAAAACAGATTAAAGTGATTCATCTCGACATCAAGCTAATCACAGATCTGTCTCTGCACATGCTAAGGCATTGCTTTTATGCTATGTTGGAACATTTTCATTGAAAAGGAACCCTTTGTTGTATCCTGTTTCACTGCAAGAGACCGGAGCCCCAAAATGTACATCACCCTCATGGCTTAACGGGGGGGGGGGGGGGGTGGCCTTCACACCTTTGTTTTTACATGTAAAGACATGGAAATGCTTCTTCACTGCAGTCTTGAATGGGCTGACCGGAGTGAATGGATGGTTGCCTTGCATTGCATATGATGATTTATTTCTCCGGGACTTCTATTGTCGTGTACTTCCTTTGGTCTCTAACTTGAACATATGTTACCATTTCACCCAGTTTTAATCTTTATTGTGTCTTGTGCCCAGAGAAAGACTGGTGGGATTGTGTGTATTTGAAACCTGTCCTTTGTCTGTTTCATCTTGCAACTTTAAAAATTCCAACTGATTTATTAGAACAATTGTATTAATTTAAAACAGAACATGTCTAGCAATTTGAATCTACAGTACAGGATATGAATAGTTGTAGGCTACTGTGTCACAGACTGAGATAAAAACGTCAGAAACATAATCATTTCTTTCTCCAGGGTAGTGTTCTTCTTATCTTAAGGGTATGTAGTCTTATTGTTAAAGAGAATTTTAGCTGTGTAACTCAATGTGTAAAAATGAACAGATGTTCTTGCAATGGCAGTGGCTGTCTGTTCAGTGCTCCTTCTGCTATTTAGCCAGATTAGGTGGAGACATCTGTTAAGAAACAACCCCCTACGCTCCCTAAAAGACACGCCCTGAGGGAAGGAGGGGCTGGGGTTACAAATTGCACACCACAGTCATTATGAGAAACATTGAATTTTTATTTGTACATTAAAAAAATGTTTTTTTTTTAAAAAAGCAGCATGCAATTTATTTCTTTTACAAATCGTCCAGTGTGAATGACTGAAAATAAATAATTGCTTTCAGGTTATTACACAACTTAAGTGCACACATACAAATACTTTAAAACTATGTACAGGTATCCAAGAGCAGCTACAATCCCTGAAACAGAAAGGGGCAATGTGTGCATGAGCTTTTATACAGCAAACACAGATTGCAAAGATGACAATGAGGAAAATGTATCTTGACAACATACATCCAAATTGCAGTAAATGAGTCAAAACTCTTAATGTACAAAAACTCCATTTATAAATTAGGGAATGAATGTCTTAAATTCTTTGGAAAAAAAAGAAGTAAATCTGAGTTTAGTTTTCATACATCTTTTCAAAGGATAAAGTCACCAGCTCTGAATTTGAACTGTTAACTTGAAAAAACACTTGAGGACTCAGACTCAGTTGACACAGATGAAATTGGCCCTCTTTTTTTCGTCATGAGTTTCTGACTTGATTTGCTGTTAGCTGTTAGCGCACTCCTTGCGGATTTCTTGAACTTTACTCCCAGAAAAGCATAGAGTATTGGGTTTAGGCAGCAATGGAAATAGGCCAGCGCCTCAGTGATGGATATCCACTTCTCCACTGCTTGTTGCAGTGCACAGGAGGTCGAGACAACGTTGAGCATCATGAGGGTGTCAAAAAAGATGCCAACACAGTAGGGCAGCCAGCAGGTGAAGAAACACAGGATGAGGATGACCGTGGTCTTTAATGCTTTCTTCTTCAGGGCCTGTCCTTTGGTGCCTTCCGACAGCTTGGCGATGATGATACAGTAACAGATGAGGATGACAAGGCCGGGAAGAATGAAGCCCACCAGAATATGCTGGAAGCGGAAAACAACCGTCCAGATGAGACTGGTTTCCTGCGGGTAAATGCGCTGGCAGATTATCCTGGGGTCTGCAGTCTCCATGCTATCGGCGGTGAAGAGGAAGTTTGAAGAGCCTGTGTTGCGCACCCTTGCGAACACCAGGTCCGGTACAGTCAGCACAGCCGCAGGCAGCCAAACACCCACATAGATCACTCTGCTGGCAAGCAGCTTTCTTGTGGCTTGGCTGTTTGTGGCCCTAACGACTGCCAGGTACCTGTCTAGACTGATGAAGGCCAGGATTAACACACTGCTGTACAGGTTGACTGTGTAGATCGAGTGCACAAACACACAGAGAAACCCTCTGAAGTACCAGTTGCTTGCTGCATCCACAGCCCAAAAAGGCAACGTGAGCACAAACATTAGGTCAGCGACGGAGAGATGAAGCCGGTACTTGTCTGTCATTGTTCTAGCTCTTCTCTGGAAGCCAATGACAACAACGACTAATCCATTGCCGATGATGCCCAGAATAAATATAATTCCGTAAACTGTAGGCAGGAAGATCTTGTTGAAAGTGTTGCTGAGCGCACTGCCGCATGGCTCCTGGAAGTCCAAGTCAAAGTCTCCTGACTCCTCGGAGGTATTGTCAGTATTGTTGTCAAACATATCAAAGGAAATAAACTGAAAGAAAGAGAGATTGAAAGTGTTAAAATGATTTTAGATCTCATGAATAACTTAACACAGATTCAAATAAATGAAATGGCGAAATTCTGGTTACTTTGTTTCCAAGGTTCTTTTTTTTTTCAAAACAAATGTTCTTGTTCTATTATAAACTGAATTTATTAGCAATGAGACAATAACTCTTTGTTGTCACGCAAGTGAATATATATATAGATATGTATATTTTAAAAAAAACTCACCTCCATGATTATCACGCGATGATCGTGTAACATGTAAAGCAGGATGATCAGTTACTTGTCTCTCGGCAAACATCTCTCTAAATACCATCTCTCTAAATAGTGCTGAACCCCCCCCCCCCCCCCTCCCCCAGCATAGGAGGAGCATCAGCCGCAGGATGCACTCCTCCCCAAAAACGGCTAAACTAGGAAACCTGCACCTAAAGACTACTCATATTGCAGAAGACAGTTTGTGAAATTTCTGCCCCATAACCGAGTTTATGTCCAGTTTTCTTAAACAATTCAAACACTTGTCTTGGAAATAAAGTTGAGGAGACTTATTATTGAACTTATAAGATATATGCATTTGTTGGTAATTCACGATTTTCTCACAGCCTCATAATTCTCTGTACTTTTCACATTATAACTCTCTCTGATTAAAAAAAAAAGTTATAAGTAAACGTCTGAAACTTAGCCTATCTTATTTTTTTGTTAATGTTGCATTTAGTCAGCACAGGAAACATAATTCTCACACAGCTTTATCAACACTTTCTTATTTCAGTTAAAGTAGAACAGAAAGGGCCAATCTACAAGTAACTCCTCACTCTAGATTAATTTGAAGTGTGAAACTCAAAATCTTCAATATAGCATACACAATTATTTTTATATTTTTCTTCTGATGTAAATGACCACAGAAAGATTCAAATATTCTATGTGCAAAACTGATGTGGCATCCTGATTATGGATCATAAAAAAAACCCCATTGCATCAGGACATATCCAAAAGTAAAACTATGATTTTCTTATGTAGGCCTACAGTACCTCCATATGCATATATATTTATTAACAGAAATCATGAATTTGGAGAGATCAGATTTTTTCCCCCTTGGATTCATGACACATAACCCGTATTTTGTGTGTCTCAGCTATGACAACTAGTAAAACATTTCTTAACTTGCCATTTTGTTAAAAGAGGTATACAAAAGGTGTATGTATGTTTAGGTATTGCACACCCCCTCTGTTAAATGAGCAGTACTAGAAAAAAACAACAATTAAAAGCCCCTTGAGATTTATCAGCACCATCATTGATCAGAACAACAACATGCTTTTGGAAAAGAGGACATTCAGAAAAAAAAATGTGTCAAGGCTACTTCACAAAATCTGCTGTTTTTTTTTTATAGAAGCAGAAGATGAACCTTTTGCTGCGTTGTGATCTGCCATGTGACTCCTTAACTAACACTAGAATTGTTTCGATCGTTTAGTTTCATCCTGTTAACGTTGAAAAGAGTCATACAATGTGAAACCACTTAATGAAGGACTTTCTTTCCCAAACTGTCTTTTTCTTATATTAAACACAATATTACTTTGATATTTTAACACAACATCAATCACAAATTAAATAAACAATAAATCAGCATTCACGTGCACACTAATAATATGTCAACATATTTAAATTTAAGTAATAAACCTACTATATATGGATGCTGAAGACTGATCCTGGATCTTTGCCATCCTCAAAATCTGTTAGACTCCTGTGGAGAGGAACAGTGAAATCTGCAGCTAACAGAAAGGCCACTGTATTTATAGGATCTATTATCAACAGAATACACAGATGGCTACTCTGTCTTCTTTGTGAGAGCAGGGCATCTGGCTTATGCTTTGATTTAACAGAATTTAATTATTTTTAACTAATTACCAATAATTTATTTCTCTTTTGAACATTTTCTTTGCAGTCATAAGCTTATGAAAACCAAAGGCTAGATCAATTTTCCCAAGGCAGTAGAAGTTTTTTTAATTGGAGTTGTTGAGATACTAGATCGATCATGGAGGGAAACTTATAAAGTGTTTTGCTTATATAAGAAATTATAGAAATCAGTGTTGTTGATAATGATAAATATGGAAGGATTCCTGAAAATGTGTAAGTGAAAACTCTAGGTGTTTTAAGGGTTTAAAATGATGAAGTGATATCAACAGTGCATGTAGGTGGAAATTCAACATAAAGCCTAGATTTATCATAATGCTGCCACTTTGGTTCAAGCATACCGAAGGGCAATGAAAAACAATTCCGGCATTATATTTGGTGATTGGTGTTTTGGAATCTCAACTTCATACTGTAGTGTTGCATAGAACATCATTGCCCATACACAAGATTTGTGCAACATGACAGTCTTGTAGGTTATAGGTGCTCTTACCTTTCATCAAATATGCAATCTCGGTTTGCAAGTAGCTTAGAGTCTCTTTGGATTTCAACTTGAGACCTGCTCCTCATAAAAAATAAGAGGTCTTTGTCTTTGGCAGGAAATCTGCAGCCCCCACTGTCATGTTTGAGTGCTATTAGCCTGGAATACAAAAGGTTTTTGAGCTACTTAGAATACAAATCACTAGAAGTGTGAAGGGCAGCAAAGGGGGCTTTTTAGTGAAGAATGGCTATTGAAATGAGGTAGAGGAATGCCAGAGAGATAAAGACAAGAATGAGCAATGCTGTTCAGTCAACACCAGCTATCCAGTTCCAACTTACCCCACCCCGTCAGCAAGTTGGCACAAGATAATTTTTCATAATGATACCTTTGTTCAAAAGTCCCTTCACTTTTTGAAATCATAATTTGTCACATTGAAGTATTTTTGTTGAAACTGACTAGAGGTTAGGTGCACGACTCAAAAGGTTTTTAGGTTTTCACATTTCATCCCTAAGTAAGAATGTAACATTTTCCTGCCAATAAATTCTGCAGGGTTTTAATGGTTAGTTTAACGATTTTTTTGTTTGTTTTAGCAATCGTTGGAGAGCTCCTTTTCACTTGCAGTTTAGTTTAAAAAGGTTTAAAGTTGTGTGTGCATGTGTGTGTGTGTTTGGCTTTACTTGTAATGTCTGTTATTTGAAATGACATAAGAAAGAGACAGAAAAGTCAGCACACGTCCTTTAAGTTTCCTTTATCTGGGTAAGAGCAGCCTACTATACTTATGTTCCCCACAGTGAGGGCCTTGGCTCATTATCTTAACAAAAGGGAGAACCTCACTCCCCCTACTGAGTTTTTGGTGGAGATGATAAAACTGACTCTTAACAGAGATTACTTCAAGTTCAAAGGTGCATTTTACTTACAGTGTCAGGGGTGAGTATGAGGAGTCCTTGTTCTCCTAACGCTCATTTGTGGAAATTCGAGGAGGATCTTGTTTACAATAACAAGGTGTTTTCTCCATTTCTGAGATATTGTTTTCGCTTTATTGATTTTCTAGATTTTTTTTTTCTGGTACTCAGGAACAACTGGAGGAATTTAAGGTGTATATTAACTTTAGAATGCCTTTAGAATTTTCTCTAGAGTTTAACATGCAGTCAGTCTATTTTTTAGATGCACTTGTAAATAAATCAGAACGGCTTGGAACCAGATACTATAGAAGGAAATCTGACACTAACAGTTTTTTTTACTTTTCTAGTTATCATCCTCCAGGCCTTTAAAACGGTTTACCTTTCAGTCAACTGGTGAGGATTAACAGGATCTGTAGTACAGAGAGTGCTTTTGAGGAACAGGCAGCTGAACTCTGCACACTTTTTAAATCTAAGGACACGATGATATAGATAGAAACATGACTAACTTCTAAAATGTCCTCCAATAACGGTAATCTAGTGTGTGCCAATACTTATTCTTCTGCTTTTGAAAAACATTGGCACATCTTTGCCCAGAAACAGTAAAGTAATTTGAGGGATTTACTTGTTAGAGCTGATTGTTATACTCACCCACAGCATTTTTTGTCCAATCTGCCTGGGGGTAATTTCCCTTGATTTAACTGTATCTGCAGCAATGACATGATTAGAGGTGGCTCTTTTTAACACCCTCATTTTGGTAAAAAGAATAGTATGGGTTAGTGCTCGTGTCTAGAGGTGCTCGCTTGGTCTTTGGCCACCAGGTGGAGCTTTATTTATGCCTCTTTAATACTATTTCTCCTGAACTTTGTCTTTTTTTTAATGTATTGCTATATATGTGTGGGGATTCCCCCTGTATATGCAGTCAAAATAAAGACCACTGGCTATTTCTTTCTGTCTTCTGATATCTATATTTATCTTTGTATTGTATTTAAGTATTTATGCATTTATAAAATGTGTTGGTCTATTTTCTGTAACACAGAATAGCCCCTGTTTTTTGTGTAAAAATAAACTTGTTGGATACTTTCCCGTTATATAAGGGGCATTTCTGCTCTCTGTCTGCAACGCTGATGAATTTGCCTTTTTTGAAATTACATAAGACCCTGGAATGTGTAACCTCTTTATCTTTCAGTCAAGGCTCCATTAGGGTGCTCTTGATTTTTCATCACTCCCTGGTTAGTGTTTAAAGTCTGTGAAGTCTGATGTTCAGCTAAAAGGGTTGATGCTATCCACCATTCATATTCCCCATATTCCAGTGTGACCGCTCCTAACTGTGCTCAAGCACAATACACTTCCTTGGCCATGGCATGCTTCAAAGAGGTGTGCTTTGGCACAGTACAGTTCATGCACGAGCAAAAGCATGCTTTATTATGAAGAAATCTGGAGTGTTCTGGCTGTATCTGACTAAAATGACTCAAAGTAAAGACACAAAGTCAGCAAAGTAGCTGTCATGTTCTCTGTGTTGTTCTCCGATGTGCAGACACGGACTCCACTGCGTGTCTCTTTTATGTATGTATGTATTTATGGCTGTATCTGATTAAAATGAGAGTCATTTTGAGTCATTAAAGTCAGTAAAGTAGCTGTCATGTTCTCTGTGTTCCCGATGTGCAGAAGCGGACATGACTGTGCGTCCCATTTACAAAACAATCGAGTCCGCCTGTTTGTAAACTGAGCATGCTTCAGTAGCTCAGTCCGTAGGGACTTGGGTTGGGAACAGGAGGGTCGCCGGTTCCCAGTCCCAGTGCGGACCATAATATGGAAGTTGATCTCGTAGCTGTTGAGGTGCCAGGATACTTCCGGAGCACTGCCGAGGTACCCTTGAGCAAGGCACCAAACCCCCAACCGCTCTGATGCGCTCTCTGCATAGCAGTGTGTAGCAGCCCCACTCTGACATCTCTCCACCAATGCATGTCCACAGGTCCTGTTTGTGCATGTGTGTGATCTATGTGATCGGACCTATGTGTATGAGAAG